GTTTGCAACTGCTAAGGTGGTGGTGTTGAAGGGTTAGTTATAAGAGGTGTAGGCGTCTGTAAATATATATTAAGCTTTTTGATAATATGGTCTGGGTCCTATAGTGAAATTCCAGCGCCTTAGAAAGCAGACCTGATGTTTTCCTTATTAAAAACCTTATTATAGGCCTAGTGGAAGGCAACAAAGAACTCAGACTTAGTGATATGATTTATAGAGGCTCTGATGAATAGGTTGATTTCATCACCATATGCGCGTTTTAAAGGCGAATAAAGGGCAATATCTAATAGCTATAGTAGATGCAATAAATATGCAGGCATACTGACGGTTATAATATTGTTCTGCTTGCAGTAATCGTTAAATTCAGCTGATAAATAGCTCTCATAGCTGTTGATAATAAGCATCCAGTAGACGCCCTTCGTTTAGTTCTTAGTGTGTTTATCGAAGTGTTTAATCCAGTTAAGACCTATCTCATTGTCCATCTATCTATTAGCAGTAGGTTTGATCACCTAGTTGCCCAGAAAACCTGATTCCATGGTCCAACTGGCAAGGTGATATACGCCCTTAACGATCACAAACAGAGGGATGCACCACCCGCCCAAATTGATATATTTGATAACTATAGCCTATTCACAGTTGCTAGGCTGCACATACTTTGCTTTGCTGCGTCAATCAGCATATATTACCACTATTAACGTGGTGATCATGCCCATCATAAAGCCAGTTTCATCAAAATTATATAGGTCCCCCTCTTAGATGCTATACTTAGCCATCATATTGCATAATAGCGCAAACCACTTTAATATAACCTCAGGATCTTCTTAAAGAGCCCTTTAATAATCGTATGGACGATTAAACTTAGTTTTCAGAGCAGGCTGTAAGTCCACAAACCGCCTGGCCTATCACTTGCCAACAGGCTCGCTATTACGCGCTCGCAGCAGGAGATTAGCCATATCTTCCACACTAGCGAGGCGTAAAGGAAATCCTCTGGAATCCTGTTCAATAACGTATTACAGAAGTGTTTTCTCTTTAATTAGATTGAGTTTATATCGTTAGGGTTAGGCACATTTGCGTTAGGGTCGATCGTTCATTCTATAGCGTACGGAACTTTCAGGGACACCATAAGTCTTCGCAGCATGCAACACACTTAGCTTTCGGCCGGCGACGCAGGCTGATCGGATCGCCTCGATGGCTAGAAGTATCTTGTCTTCTTATGTGTAAATTGGCATGATGGTTGCAGAGTTATTACGCGTCAAAGTTTTAAGTGGTTTGGTGCAAACCGCGTTTGGGGAAAAGTTTGTCGCTGACTGATATTTGTTGCTGACTGATGAACCACGTTAATTAATATATTAAATAAGTTCTAAAGAAGTTTAATTTTACAGATTTTAAAGTTTTAATTATATCTCTTTCTGTTATTTTATTTAAGAAATTTAATAAAAGAGTAAGCTTATAATAAATCTTATTATATTAAGAAAAGATTAGCTTAATTCTCTATATTATAATTATAATATAGCTAGATATTATATTTATATACATTTTCTTATCATAATTTCTAATACATTTATCTCTAAAATATTATTAAGCTATAAATTAAATAATTTAATTTTCATATTATATTTAATACTTTATAATTTGCTTTAGTATCTGAGAAAGTAGAGTGGTTTAAATATTATTAATTATGAATAATATATTTTTTACTAATAATAAAGAGATATAAAGGTTATCTTAAGGTTTTATAATATTGCTTTTTAGAAGTTTAATTCAATAGAAAGCTATATATTAAAATATGATAACCATATGAATAATGGAGATAAAGCTTTCAAGTTTAAAATATATTATAAAAGAGATTATAGCGGTGAAATAACTTTTTATAACTTTAAACTCAGGTTAAAAAGTATATAAAAGATTTCTTATAATAATTGGTATATAACATAACTTATAATAAGAGAAAAAAACAATATTGTAATTTATTTTTGTCACGGGCTAGAGCCCGGATTGATATCTCCGGCTTTGCCGGAGCAATTACCGAGATCCGGCTCCGTTGGACCCACTACTCTGCCGCGTTACACCGCCTAACCCGGTCTGCTTCACCGCTGTTAGGTGCCTACTCTTGTAAAGTCCTTTCTTCCTTCTTCAGCTGAGAATAGTCAATCGACGGCACCTCTACGTTGAACAAGCCTAGGGGCCAGCCCCTTACAATTTTTATCATATAGGTATCTAAAATATATAACTTTACTAGAAACATACTAAAGAATTATTGTAAATAGTTTATTTTTTAACTAATAAAATATTAGCTAATAGTTTTATAAAAACTTCTTTTATAAAAGTTTTAAATAGTTTAAAATATTTCTAAACTTCTAAAATATATTATAAATAATAGAATAAAGTAAAAAAAGAAAAGTTAAATAAGAAATAACGCTTATGAAGTAAATATTTTTAATTCAAAATAGCTTAATAATTAAGAAGTATATAGCCCTCTTAAAAGCTTAAAATATTTATATTTCATAAATTATTTAATAATATAAAAGCTATATTTTATTTTTATTCTTAGAAAATAGACTAATATATAAACCACTAACGATTAATATATTCTCTATAATAACTTTAATTAATAAGAAAATAACTAATACTAAAAGAGAAGCTATAGTTTTTATAGCTATTTTATTATTACTCTCACTTTCTATTTTAGTTTTAGCTTTTATTCTAGCTTTATTATAAGCATTAAAAGCTTTATAAAATATAGTTCTCTAATAAATAAAACCTTATAATATGTAAATTAATAAGTAATTAGTAAAGCAAAAAGTTATATAAAAGTGTATATTATTAATAAAATCTTTTTATATACTCTCTAAGAATTAAAGCTTTAATCTAGAAATAAAGACTAATATAAAGATATATAATTTCGTTCTTTTTATAAAAAACATATTTACTTTTTTATTTTCAACTAAATATATACATGCTAAGTAGTATACTTAAAATAGCGCTATATAAATATAGTAAATATATAATATTACTCAATAATAATAGCTATTTTTCTTTTAAGCTTTAAGTTTTTAAAGTTTCTATCTTTATTTAAAAATTAGTAAATAATATAATAACTTAACTAAAGATTTAAATGTAAAATATACTCTTCTTATATTTTTAATATAGCTTATAAATAAATAGAAAAATAGAAGTTATAAATTTTAAATTATACCTCTTTTTAGTTTCTTTATTTTTTATAAACATTTCACTTTTATTAAGCTTGTTAGTTTTAACCTCTATAAAGTAACTTAAGTTAATAATTAAACTATAAAAATAATAAAATAAATAAAAACTTTATAATAAAGAAAAAACTTTAAAATATTAAAGATAAAGGATAAAATAACTTACTCCTCAGCTTAAAGCTTTTAATCTTTAAAAAGAATATAAAAAGGATATTATTACTATCCTCTTCTTTTTTTTCTCTCTCTTTCTATTTAGTATTAATAAAAATAGCTCTTATTTTAGCTATTATAGCTATATATTTAGCTTTAGTTTTCTTTGTTATTTAAATAATATAACTAGCTTTAAAAATAGAATTAAAAATAAATCAAAATATTATAATTACTATATAAATGCCTATATATTGTCACAGGCTAGAGCCCAGCTGAGATCTCCAGCTTTGCCGGAGCAGCTACTGAGACCCAGCTCCGCCAGGTCCACTATTCTGCCGTAGCACACCGCCTAGCCCTAGTGTGCTTCACCGCCGCTAGGCGCCTATCCCTGTAAAGTCCCTTCTTCCTTCTTCAGCTTAGAATAGTTAATCGACGGCACCTCTACGTTGAACAAGCCTAGGGGCCAGCCCCTTACAATTAAGTCTAAAACTGATCACCTTAGCCTCTAAAGACCGATCTACTACAGCCTACAACCTACGACCCAGACCACGACCTCCGTGTACTGTTATAACGTGTCAATCCCCAGCTTCTGTTAGCAGACCCTACTGTCGGATAACTGACCGTAACATAACTACCTCAGCTTTTTTATTTAAGCTAATAAAAAGCCTCTATTTCTACTAAATAAAATAATAATATTAATTACTACTCTAATATTTATAATTTTAATTATAATAAAAAATATACATATAAAAATACCTCTTTTTGTAATTTAATAATAAAACTATAAAATTATTTCTTTTATTAGTTTCTTTTACTAATTACTTTTTTTTATATCTATTTATAATATCTTACATATATATTTAGATGTTTTTTTTCCATAACGTTAGTTATATAGAATTAAGGTTTTTAGGCTTTTTTAAGTCTAAAGAGGTAAATTATAATACTTTTAAATATCTAAAATAGCTTTACGCTTAGAAGAAAGTGTAATATAACTTACTTCTAACCTATTTATCTAAGCTAACGATATTCTAGCGCGTTAAGGGCTATTCCTTAAAAGACCTTTCGTATTAGACACTAATTTAGAAGGAATTAAGCTGTTTTATTTATATAGATGCTATACGCACGTTATAGTTAATTTACAACACTTCAAAAACGTTCATAATTAGAAACAAACGTCTCCTTTAATCTTCCAGTGTATCCTACTGCTAAAATCGACCGTTTTCAACCACTCTTGTCCTTATTCTCAGTCACGGAATGTCTTGTCAAGCCATGTCCTCTATCTATCATTCCTATTCCCAGCTTTGAAATTGCTATCAAACCAGTATAGGAGTTCTTCAAAGACATGTTGAAGCGAGAAAGCGTCTTGCCTAGATGTTGAAGGAGCAAAATGGACACTGTGAGTGGATATTCTTTAGCGTACAATCGTAACCCCAATGCTGCATAGTATGTAGGCAGAAGCGTCTTGGCGTAGGAGAGCTCGTAGAGCAGACACTGCGACAAAGCAGTTGCCTGCAAGTCACTTTGGTTTTTTTTTTTTTGTTAATTTTCCCGATCTGTCAACTCTACAAATACGGGCCGCTCGGGTGTGGCCGGCTTTCCGAAGTTGGTCGGCCGAACATCCCACATCCCGGTAACACTCTGATCACCTCATTTAGCCCAAGGGGTCATGTTTCCGTCCGTGTCGCTGCCGGATCTTGACCCCGAAGTAACCGTGATTTGAGTTGTGCGGGTGACCTGTACACCAAGCTTCCCATCTCGCGTGGAATCCTGCCCACAAGGACCCCCATGGAGCTGCTCTTGCGACTCTGATCTATCGAAATTTGTCATAGACACCCCGTCATCCCGCATCTTGTAATAGCTGTCTGCGTGGAGTCCAGACTTTGATAGCTGCGGTGTGGAACTAGTTGCGTAGTCTGATGACTTCTGGTCCGACGGCTTTGTTGTCTTAACGCTGATACCAAGCGCGCTCTTCACCTTGCGGGGAAGGCCAGATTCTCTGATTATCTTTGGCAAACAGGGAACGCTGAGGATGAAGAAGCCGCAGGTCATCTCGGCACATGCCCAGAATAACAAGGGGCCGATGAAGAACATTGTGTCTGCTGCTTGAGCGAACGCGATCGTATGGTCGAGATGGAAACAAGCGGCGATCGATGCCCTGGCAATTCAATGTTAGCGATTAATCCAACAACAGGATCGAGATTCTTACAAGATGCCAACTCCGAAGATGATCGAGATTCCAATCTTTCTTTGCAAATTCATTTCCAGCCCCCAAATGATCCGTTGTGGTAGCAGGACCATCACAATGTCCGTGGCAACTTGAACGCTCGCCGACGTAAGCATTACCTTTGGCAGTGCAAAACACTTGCTAGGCACGTAGAATTCCCAGATTGCGTTATGAGGGGTGCACTGCATATTCAGCAGAATGATGCAGAGTATTCCCTAGAGACACTGGAAGCCAACGACGCCCATGCAACACCACCAAAACACACTTTTTCGTTTGTCGCCAGCGGTGAAAATTCGGCACCAGTCGAGGAGGATAGCGGTTTTGATCAGGGGCAGGACGGCTGAGTAACAACATCCTTAGACAAGAATGAACTTTCGCTGGTCAGCGGCGCAATACAAATAACTCTCACGGACAACTCACATATAGAGGCTGAATGAGATCTTTATTCCGAAGATTCCATGTGTGTACATAATAGCCTGGTGTCCAAATCATGCCGTAAGCGGCGTACGCGGTGCCCCAATACGCTCCCTGTTAAATATGACAGTCAGCGGACGTATCCATAGCGCCAGCGAAAGGTTCTGCTAGACAAAAGCTTGTTTGTAATACTCACATAGGCCAGAAGCATCAAAACGACTCGTTGTACCGTATTAGCTAAACCTCAGACTTTCACAGCGCTGAATCTTGGAAGGGGCGTAAGACCTTCTTCGATGCGGACTTTCTTCTCGATCCACAAACGTGCGTAACAGCGCAAAAATAGACACAGTGTGGCAATCACCATACATGCTGTTGTCACAGCCCAGGCAAGGCCATTTTGGTTGGGCGGGTTGTCGAAGTTCGGCGTAACACCTTCTGGCGGTGCCAGCGCTGGTGAGGCTAGAAGGGCTTCCAGCTCGTCTGATGACAACGACATGGCGAGAGTTGAAAGTTGATAGAATGAACGGCAAGCTCTGTCTCCGCATTGGAGGGACTGTCGCAGACGAAAAGACAACCGGTCATATACCTACATCCTACGCGTAAGGAGTCATTGGACAGGCAGAGCCCCGGGCAAGGGTGAGACAGCTGTGTGGAGTTAGCCGGTGGGTTGAAAATGTAAAAGTTCAGACGATGGTCGGGCAGGAGGACCAGGATCTACACACAGACTTGCCTGCACCGGATTTTGAGCCAAACTCAGGCTTCCTCATCTGCGACGCCTGACTAGTGGTATTTACTTCTGTGTCATCAGCGAAAGATTCAACGGCGACCACGCTTGTCCCGCGCAACAGCATGATATGTCATCTGAGTTCACAAGAGCTTGAGTGAAAGAAAGATCCTCGAGAGAGAATAACAGTTTTCCTCTCGCATAGATCACCCACAAGCTCGCCCACGTAATTTGTGCCTTGTCAACGATGCAAAAGTGCTCGAGTACCAAGTACGGGCAGAAACACCTGCAGGAAAGCATCATTTCCTGGTACATGAGACTGGCCCAATTATTACAAGAGAACTATCTACGGTTGAAGCGTCTCGGCACCCGCGAGCTCGATTTGGAAATTCTTCTGCCCAAAACGGCGAGTTACGGGACACTGTTAATATCAATATGTGTTGCGGGTGCATGGCATACCCTCTGTATTCAACAATTGTTCGCATCTTGTGCCATAAAATGTTAGCATACTCCACCGAGGACGACGACAGCTTCATGTTGGCGCCGGTGTCGGTGCTACAAGCCTGATTGCTGAGGGGAAGGCCGCCCTCAAAGCGGAAGTCGAGCCGGTGGCGTACACCGAGACGGGTCTCCGCTTCTCGGACGGCAGCATCGTTGACGCGGATGCCATTCTGTGGTGCACCGGCTTTGCCGACAAGGACGCCCGGAAGACCGCTGCCGAGGTCCTTGGCGGTGGAAACACGGATGGTAAGGTCAACGGAGATAAGAACGTTCTCGGCCCAGAGAACATCGCGGCCCGTCTCGATGCTACCTGGAACCTTGATGAGGAGGGCGAGATCCGTGGGATGTGGAAGCGCCATCTGAACATGGAAAACTACTGGGTCATGGGCGGATACACCCAGCAGCATAGATGGCATTCACGGACCCTTGCGCTGCAGATCAAGGCAGCCCTTGAGGGCATACTCCCCCCGGCCTATCGCGATACCCCGAATTTGAAGGTGCCCCAATAGAGTAGATAATCATCATCCTGGGCCAATTCATAATCATCTTGATCACCGATAATCCACTAATCAATCGTTTCTCGGGGTGGTTAAGTTGGTTGGTTCCAGTCAGGCACGCGGCATTCATGCAAGCGTCTCAGGGGCTCCCTAGTTCATGATGTGTGGTGGTGGGGGCGGCAACACATGTTTCTTTGACAAACGGGGTCATGATTCCATGCACAGTTTTCTTCAAGTACGCATCTGGAATAGACTGTTTGATCTTACTTTTTTTTGGGGGCAATGGCAGGAATCAATTAATATTGCCGCGAGAATAACCCCTGATTCCGGTCCCCGCCCCTGGCTTGTCCAAGATTTTGCGGAGCTATGCGTCCGGGTACTGACCTCCCACCATTCCATGTTCCTCGGAGACGCCTCTTCATCAACCAAGGAACAAGAGATGTTAGAAATGGAAACATTGTAAAAGCCATTATCTGGTACTCGTTGCTAGATTTCGGCTGCCTAATGCGTTCTTCTCCGAGTCTTCGGCAGTTTTGCCAGCAAGACCAGACTGATCTTCATCAATGTTCGGCCACTGGTGAGCCATTCCATCCGGCTTGACCCAGACATTGCTGTTCCAGCTATTCAAAATATTCGACTCAATTGCAGCTGACATCAATAACGATGTCATTTGTTGCTGTAATGTACAGTAAAGTTCCTCGTACAGACAATTCCCTGCGCCGGCTCCGTCTTCTGCAAAATCAACTCTTCACTGTTTGTATCTGAGGCTGCGCCTGAGGGATAAACAGAGCCCATTGTATCCCTTAAGTTCCTCACAGAGCGCCCTGCATGGATCTCAGTTGTGGTCGGCGACATCTGTTGCTCTCTGATATGCATTGCATCCCTCTTTTGCAGCTCGTATCCGTCCTGCAGGTTTCCTTCGTGAATCATAGTTCGCCTTTTGCTATGGACTTGGGCTTTACTCCCACCCGTGCCGGCGTCAAGTGGTGTTCGGCCGCTGTGATTATATCTCTCGTAGCTGGGATAGTAGCCAGCAGAGCTGTTGATCTTCAAGTAGCGACCGACGAGGGGCTTGAGGAAGGATGCACATGCTGCTATGATACCGATGTTGAGCTGGAGACTGCGCAGGTACTTCGCGTTAGCCGCAGAGAACTTTAGACTCGATATTTCATTGCTCGGCGACCTACTTTTGCCAAAAATGAACCCAATAGTCAAAAATAGCATCAGGGGCGCCGCCGGTTGTAAGCATAAACACGGCTTTGAGGATTCCCATCAATACAGCGCTTCTCATTGATGAACGTCAGCCCAGACAGAATTTTGTGATGAAGGCACTTACAAATATCCCAAGTTGAGGATTGCTATCACATAGATTCTGACTCGAAGTTTCATCTTCAGGCTCCAGATGATCGGAATGGGCAGAGCTCCCAAGCAGACGTCGGTGAAGATATTGCACGCTGAGAATAAGCAAGTTAGGGTCTGTTCAATACCCTGCTAGTGTAAGAATTTTAACTTACATATGTTCCAGTATGTGAGGTTGAGGAAGACATTGAAGTCGTGGCACCTTGGATCAAACGGATTCATCCATTGGAACTCCCACCATCCAGAGTAAGGGGTGCAGTAAACAAATAGCCAGACTATAGCTTGGATTGAATACGCAACAACGAAGCCTGTCAAAAGAATCAAAAGTCTGTCAGCTGTCTTTCAAGCGGCCAAGGTTGGCTTAGACAACATACCCATCACGGCGTACAACGACCACCGGTACCAGTTGAGGTCTCTCTTTAGTCGGAGCAAGGTGTATGCCATGGAAATTCTCAACAATCCCATGGCCACTCCATCCGAAATCACTGTCTTCCAGAAGGTGATTTGCTCAAATTTTATTCGTTCGTCAATCGCTATCGTTGCCGCATGACGGCCGAGGCCGTGTGGTATCTGGAGGACGAGGCAAATCCACGATGTCAGTGCTAGGAGCTTGGTCCGAAACTAGTCAGCTAGCGTGTCTCAGAAGTACTTGTGCAAATCTTCCAGGATGAGCATACAGCAGCGACGACAATGAGAGCATCATCTAGACCGAACGCTCTGAGAACGACAACTCGAGCGTAGATACGCAAAGAGACGAAAGAGAACGCTAGAAAGTGAAATGCGCCGACAACGCCAACGATTCTGGCCGCATTGCTCTCGTCCGCGTACTCGAGGGACTGGCCGTCCATTGCAGCAGTTGATCGGCGAAGGGGAAGAGATGAAATTGATGGCCATGCTTTCGATGGACATGTCCCAAAACCATGATTATCCTGCTCACAGTGGGTCTCTGACAGTTTAAAAGACAAGGGCAACTTTCTCCTCCCTTTGCACACGCCAACTCTTTGATCGCAAGACCATCCCGATGAAGAACCAAGAGACTTGATCCGGAAGTTGGTTCTTTTTGGACTCGAAACCGTCTCGGTCACCACCCACTTACCAGGGTCGAGCGAAGAACAAGCTCTTGTCCTGCCGAAGGATCCAATCAGGATCACAGGTGTTCATTTGGAAACTGGAAAGGGGCTCCACTGTATGCAGTGTGGTGAGTGAAGAACGCCACCGACCTGCAGATGTGTATCGGACTTGCCCTCACAGGTTGCATGATACATCATGAGTTTGACCATGGCATGGAAAGATGTCTCTCGTAGGAGGTGAGGACTACGTAAGTGACAAGCCGCAAGGGCGGAAATACCTGGGCGCCACACGTGTTTGTCCCTCATTTCAGGCGATTCGACGGGGGATATTTCCCAGATTGGCCTGTTCAGATTCATTGATCTGATTTCGCCACAGGGGGTTGGCGCGAAGAAGAAAAAGGAGGGTTACCACGTGGTAACCGTCGGTGAACAAGAGCATCGAATCCTTCATGCACATGGCTTGCGTCAGGAGCAATAATCCGTTTGCCACAGCAATTTAGAACCTTTCTCTTTACCTGGAAGCTTTAGGGACGACTTCTCGTGAATGTTGCGGATGTCTTCTTAGCCTGTGGCAGCCTTCAAATGGTCAGTCATTCCTCTTGCAATATGTTCCTGGTGAGAAC